TTAAAAAATTTAAAAAGTAAAAACCGTCTTAGGCCTGACTTTAGGAGGAATATCGAGGAATAAAAACTTTGACTCAAGAACCTATTCAATATGTAGGAATTATTTTATTATTTTTAATTATTAAAAGTCGCTTTTCATTTTTTAAAGTTTAATTAAGTAAGTCACATAAAATTCACAGAGCATTTAACAGACCTTAATTTATTGAACGAATAGTCAGTAAACCGCAGATTTAGGTTCAACATTTACCGACCGGTCTCGTTGTTCACTGTTTATTTTTAATAGAAATCCTACAAATCTTTATAATGGGATTTGGCTGAAATAACTTGTTTATTAAAAGAACGTAACAGACAATCACATTGCCCCTGATTGTGTAGGTAGGTATGGGTTTTATGAATTTCTATTATTTACTGTTTTCGGCTTAAACGACTCCAAGTATTGGTGATGTAATGTTCGGAGAGGTAAGAGACTGAAGTTTCACTTCCACCATTCTTTCATTTCAATGTTAAATATGAGTAAGGAGCACAATTACTTGGGGGGAGGGGGGGGGGGAGCTCCTATTAGAATCTCGCCTGAGGGCAATGTATCTCACAAGCAGCGGCTTTTCTTGGTCACCTTTCCGTGGCGCTGTCCTGTGTTCGCTATTTAAAGCAATAGTGGCGTGACGCACACGCGCAGGTGTTGTTAACCACAAGTTGCTAATTTAAATATCTTCATTTTAACCCGTCACGACGACCACGCCGTCACATACGTTTGTCTGTAGCATTACACTTGATACGATTTTTAATTAGATTTGATTTAGATTAGTTTTAGACTTTACTCATAATTCTTATACAAATGTAAAATCTTTTTAGAATCGAGGTCAATTACTGAGAAAAATTGCTGTTGTGAGACAATGCCACTGCCAAGTCAAGGAAAGTTAAGATAGTTATTGCTAAGACTTATATGCTTTGTTTTTCTATACTTTTCATGACCTACTTTTTCACTATTGACATAAAAATCATATGAATTTCAAAATCCTTACAAAATTCATATCATGCTGCTTAAAAATATCAAACGAACAAAACATTTGAACACGTCGTTGTTAAAACACAAGGGCTATCGAGCCGTAAAAATATAATTCGTTGATTTGAATCAAACATCCACTACGGTTCATGCCGAAAGGATTAATTAAAACCAATGACATTGTTTTATAGGTTTCACTTTAACACAGGCGTAGCATACAAAATATAAAAATACCATATAGTGTTTATGTCACATTAATTACAGTGTCTATCAACAAGAGATTGTCTGTATTATTTGAAAGCCAGTATAATAAGCAAGGCTATGGACTCTTCACAACTGACAGTGAAGAGCGAAGAGTGAGAGTGGAGTAGAATGGAGCTTTTAATTAAAAAGTTTGCAACTGTATCTAGTATAAAATAAAGATTTATGCTACAATAGTTATCCTTCGTGCCGATGGGGATTATAAAACAAAACTTGACCCGAAAATCAACAATTTATATTTTTGCACTCCAGTTGATCTCGAAGTTAAACTGATTGATTTTTTTTAGTTTTCTCAGTCATATAATAGTAATACACATTTCAGAAGTGGACTACTTATTATATGAATAATGAATAGTAAAATTTTATTAAATAATTACAATTAGCTTTTTAACATCTCACTCATCTTACAATATATTTTATTTTCCCAAAAACTGTGCTTTCTCCAACTCAATTTATATTAATGATCTTACAAGATAAGAAATGCTTCGGCGGAAAAGAAACTAATCAAAGAAGTCTTCAATATCATATTTAGGTTTGCAGCCCTTAAAGCTCTTTAATAAAAGTAATTTGTTTTCTGTAGATAATTTTTTTTATATAATAAGGTCACTGTTAAGATTTCACTCATTGAAAATAGGTACTAAATTATTTAACTGTGTATCGAATTAAATACCTAATTTATACTCAGTACAAATGTAGTATGTAGGTCACTGAATAAGTTTTGAGATGCTAGAAATTTAAAAATGGAACGCACCCGTGTTATATGTTACTAAAAAGCAAATTTATTTAAAAATAGAACTCCATAAGCCAATTGCTAAATATTAAAAAAAAAACCAATGTTCTATTAATTTTCCTGCAACGCTTCCCGCGTTTTTCATTTAAAACGATGGATCTTAACCGTGAACATTTGCGCGCTATGATATTGTTGCGCGCCACTATTAATGTCTTGTACATGGTAACACTAGTTACACTAGCGCCCTCTAGTGTCGAGTAGCAGAAAGTGTTGCGCGCCACTATTAATCGAGTCGAGTAGCAGAACTAGGAGAGTCAAGATCCTTCCAGAAATTTCAGGACCGATATGTACTCGAACATTCTAGATGTCGCTACAGTAGAAGGTTCTGGAAACTATCTGAGGCCCTATATAAGGCCAGTATAGACCACGACCGAGACAGTATTGAATTGGCGATACAAGAGAATACTTCGAAGCAAAATAATTGCGAACTAAGGTGATTGTGTATTATTATTAGTGTAGTTTTGGATTGTAATTAGTGTTGTGTAATTAAATAGTCAATTTTGGTAATTCACTCGGCAGTTTTTAATTATCTCGAACCCCAAGCTCGTAACAATTGGTGTCAGAAAAGGAATCAAATGATGCCGATTTTACCAAAGGACGACATGGAGGGTGACCCATGAGGGGTACCAGAAGTCAACGCCAGCTGCAGACGGACCAGAGACGATTTGGTAATGCAATGCCGCAAACGTTGGAGGGCCAGCTGCTGACCACGGAGGCCGGCCCGTCAGCAGCTCCTGCATCTGCAGCATCTGACTTAGATGCTCTGATGATGATGCTGCAGGATCAGGCCGTCTTTTGGAAGAGCAGCTGCAGCGCGGACAGAGGAACAGGTCCGTCGGTTGGAAGAGCAGCTGCAGCGCGGACAGGAGGAACAGGGCCGTTGCTTGGAAAAGCAGCTCAAACACGATAAGGAAGAGCAGATGCTCCTCATGAAGGACCTTCACGCTACCTTCGGGAAAGAGATAAAGGAGGTGAAGGATAGGGTTGCTTAACATGACAACCGCCTGTCGGAAGCTGAAACCCGAATCGACCAAGTGAATAATCGGGTTGACAACATGATGGTTGACGTGAAGAAAACGCTGGACGACCTCAAAATAGGGGATGGAGTTACAGCTCCCGTGGTAACTACAACACCTTCGCTACGTGGATTCAAAGTGCCACCGTTCGACGGGACTTCTTCCTGGTAGCCCTACAAAATCCAGTTCGAGGCTGTCATGAAAGCGAACGGCTGGAATAAAAGTCAGGCCATGACTGCTCTCACACTAGGCCTGCGCGACCAGGCCTTAACTGTTCTGGAAGCTCTCGGTAAGGAAGTGACTTACGAGCAGCTCCGTGAGGCATTGGAGGCGAAATATGGCGACGCTCACCTGGAACACGTTTTTCGTGCGCAGCTCAAAGATCGCGTGCAGAAGCTGTACCTGCGCTCATTGTAGAGAACCTGGTGCAGACGTTCATCGACGGCATCCGCGACCTTGAAGTCAGAGCTGCTGTGAGGCTCGGGCACCACGAGACGCTTAAGGACGCCTTGACTCATGCACTGGAGGTGGAAGCCGTGCGGCGGGATCATCGTTCCCACCGCGTCAGGGAGGTTGCAGCAGCTACAGTTCGAGACCGCAATAATGGCTACAGCCCTAGGTGCAACGGCTGTGGGGAAAGGGGCCATCTTCGATCTGGCTGCCCTACGCGAACTGTAGAAAGGGAAGGTGATCGATCTCGAGAGAAACGAGCCAGCCAGGTCTGCGGGGCGGGTGCTGGCTGATGTTAAAAGAGCCCCAAAGATTTCAATCTCATAAACCCATGATAGGAACAGCATAATCATCAAGGGCGAAGTCAACGGAACGCCGTGTAAACTGACCATAGACACTGGAGCCTCACGCACGGTTGTCAGTTCACAACTTATAAGTCAGTTCCTTGAGGACTCCGCATACAACCGCGAACGCATTAATTTGGTGACAGCCACCGGTCAGCGCATACCCGTTCGTGGAGAGAAGGAGATGGAGTTGAAGCTAGGCAACATGATCTACCTGCATAATGTCATCGTGGCTGATATAATGGACGACTGCATTCTGGGCCTAGACTTTATGAGGAAGAATTGTTGTGAAATCGACGTTAAGCAAGGTGTTTTGAAATCTGGACTAGCGGAACTTTTCGTGGAAGGGGCGTTACCAGGGAATGTGTACAGCATTAAAAAGATTGTTCTTCCGCCGAGATCGGAAACGATTATAACGGTTAGACGTCCTCGGAATCTTGGGCAAATTCTTCGTTGTGTACTCGTGGAAAGGGTAGACAATGACCTTCCATGGATAGTGGCTCGAACCTTGGTCAGAACCGCCGACATTTCAGGAGTACGTGTGCTGAACCTTTGTGATCAGGAACAGATTATAGAAAAAGGCACATTGGTTGGTACTAGTGAGGAAGTGGATTGGTTGCGTCGGTGCCAATATCTATCCCCCCCCAGCAAGGATGGACAAACGGGAGTGACCACACTTTTAGAAGACTGTCGCAGCGTTCTCTCCCCAAATGAAATGGTCAAGGCGAAGAAGTTGTTACTCAAGTATGCCAATGTTTTCTCGTCAAACGAAGCTGACATAGGAAAGACTGGCTTAGTTCAACACAAAATAAACACAGGAGAAGAATTGCCTATTCATCAGCGGCCAAAAAGATTGTCTGTAGCGCGTGAAAAGGAAGTGGAAACCATGATTGAAGGAATGGTGAAGGATGGTGTTATCTAACCTTCATCTAGTCCATGGTGTTCACCTGTATGCTGGTAAAGAAGAAGGACAGCTATCCTTTGCCTAGAATTGATGACACGCTGGACATGCTCACAGGTGTAAAGTCGTTTAGTACGCTGGACCTGAAAAGTGGCTACTGGCCGGTTGAAATTGACCCTAAGGACAAGGAAAAAACTGCATTCTGAACAGGAAAGGGTCTGTGGCAATATAAAGTCATGCCGTTTGGATTGTGCAATGCTCCAGCAACGTTTGAAAGGTTGATGGAGCTTGTACTTACCGGCCTAATTGGAGATGCCTGTCTGGTCTACTTGGATGACATCATCATCGTAGGCCGTACGTTTGAGGAACACCTTCAAAACCTTTGTGTCAACCTCAAGTTGAGTCCGAAGAAGTGCTCACTATTCAAACGGCAAGTCAACTTTTTGGGGTATGTAGTGTCGGAAGAAGGTATCCGCACGGATCCAGAGAAAATTGCTGCTGTCAAGGATTGGCCGGTTCCAAAAGACAAAACACAGGTTAGAGCATTTTTGGGTTTGTGCTCTTATTATCGGCGATTTGTGAAGAACTTTGCAGATATAGCCAAACCTCTGCACAGGCTAACAGAGGAGAAGCGACATTTCTGCTGGGATGAAAGTTGCGACATTGCATTCCAGGAGCTCAAGAACCGTCTGTACAAAACACCTATCTTGGGGTACCCTGATGCGGCAAGGAATTTATAGTTGACACAGACGCAAATGATATAGGACTTGGCGGTGTGTTGTCTCAACGGAATGGTGATCAAGAGATTGTGATAGCGTATTCAGCAAGTCGTTGTCAAAGCCGGAAAGGAACTATTGTGTCACAAGACGGGAATTGCTTGCTGTGGTAGTCCTTGCAGCATTTTAGCAAATATCTTCTGGAGCGGAAATTCCAATTACGAACTGACCATGCTGTACTGAAATGGCTATTGCAGTTCAAAAATCCTGAAGGACAAGTTGCGAGATGGGTTGAACTACTGCAGGAATACGACTTTGTGATCGAACATCACAGCGAAATCTCATGGCAATGCAGGTGCATTATCAAGAAGACTTTGCCCTGAAGATTGCAAGCATTGTACTAGGCAAGAGGGTAACGAAGTGGTATCTGTGAGCATACTCAGGACAGACCAGCTCAGCAATGAGTGGAAGGACAGCCTACAACATGCACAGCAAGAAGATTCAGACATTAAGCCGATTCTGGAATGGATGAAGGCCAGTTGTCCTAAGCCCAAGTGGAGCGACGTCTCAGCAATGAGTTCAACCACGAAAAGCTAGCGAGCCTAATGGAACAGCTTGCTGATTCAGGATGAAATCCTGTGCCGTAAATGTTAAAATGGTCGGGGAGACAGATGTCATTTGCAAATGGTTGTCCCTAAGGCTAAAGTACCGGATGTTCTACAGCTGTACCATAGTGGTTCTTCAGGGGGCTACCTGGGAGTTAAACGAACTCTACTGAAGATCCGAGAACGGTTTTACTGGGTCCACTGTCGTGACGGTGTCGAGGACTGGTGCCGCAAATGTACAAGTTGTGCGGCTGTAAAGGGACCTCAAATTCGTTGTAGAGGGGCATTGAAATTGTACAATGTTGGTGCACCATGGGAGAGGATAGCCATTGACGTTGCGGGGCCGTTTCCGGAAAGTGAAAGTGGTAACAAGTATTTCATGGTTGTGATGGATTACTTCACTAAGTGCCCAGAAGTCTTCGCCATTCCAAATCAAGAAGCTTCAACAGTTGCAGATAAACTAGTTCATGAAGTCTTCTATCGTTTTGGAGTACCTTTAGAGATTCACAGCGATCAAGGAAGGAATTTTGAGGCTCAAATAATCCAGGAAACTTGCCGAGTTATGGGTACTCATAAAACACGAACAACTTCTTACCACCCACAATCTGATGGAATGGTAGAACGATTTAATCAGACATTGGAGAGGTACCTAGCAAAAGTTGTGGAAAAACGGCAATGAGACTGGGACAGGCACATACAACCGTTTTTGTTGTCATGTCGAAGCGCTGTTCACGAAAGTACATCAGTGACACCAGCTTTCGCAAACTTTGGGAGAGAATTACGGCTGCCTGCAGATCTGATCACCGGAATACCACCTGATGCCCCACGCAGTATAACCGATTATGCAAATGACTTGCGGAACAAAATGAATGACATTTATGAGCACGTCAGACAGACGGGCCAGCAAACGTCTGAGAAGATGAAAACACGGTATGACCGCAAAATGAACAACAAGGGGTTTGATGAAGGTTCACTAGTGTGGTTACACAATCCAGTTCGCAGCAAAGGGAAATCTCCTAAGCTTCAAGCTAAATGGGACGGACCGTACTGGATTGTGACAAGGATCAATGACGTAACCTACCGGATACAGAAAGGTGCCAGAGGTACTCCTAAGATCGTCCATTCGGATCGACTGGCGCGTTATTATGGGCCCAATAACGCTCAGGACGAGCATGTCTTAGGAGGGGGCTGTGTTGCGCGCCACTATTAATGTCTTGTACATGGCACACTAGTTACACTAGCGCCCTCTAGTGTCGAGTAGCAGAAAGTGTTGCGCGCCACTATTAATGTCTTGAACATGGCAACACTAGTTACACTAGCGCCCTCTAGTGTCGAGTAGCAGAACTAGGAGAGTCAAGATCCTTCCAGAAATTTCGGGACCGATATGTACTCGAACATTCTAGATGTCGCTACAGTAGAAGGTTCTGGAAACTATCTGAGGCCCTATATAAGGCCGGTATAGACCACGACCGAGACAGTATTGAATTGGCGATACAAGAGAATACTTCGAAGCAAAATAACTGCGAACTAAAGTGATTGTGTTTTATTATTAGTGTGGTTTTAGATTGTAATTAGTGTTGTGTAATTAAAGCGCCAATTTCGGTAATTCAATCGGCAGTTTTTAATTGTCTCGAACCACAAGCTTGTAACAATATATTATGATTTTAAATTTGGTTTAACCGTACAATTAAATTTACAGTCAGCATTAGGAGACTCAGCTCCATCACACGCAACAATTTTTAGGTGGTTTTCTGAAAGGATGTTAAATAAATATGATTAGTATCTAGAATACTTATTGTATATCTTAAAACTTATTGAGTGTCCTAAGTATATTATTTTAGTGCGCACCTCGCAATACCTAAATATTGAGGTACCGCGTTTTACCGGTGGCACAGCATCATTAAAGTGTTAATTTTTAATGAAAACATTTTTTTCTGTTAGAATTTACAGAATTCAAAAGAGAAAAGGAGGTTACATAATGGACAACCACTTTATCAGTTTTAGAATGGGATAGAATATTGTATGTCACACTAACTGGCTTGTTCGCTAGTGTGCAACGCTGAATTATTATAATATGTAAGCTATTTCGACAACAGTATAGTAACAGCCACTAATATGTCCACAGCTGGGCATAGGTCTCTTCTCTATTCTGAGAGGTTTTTAAAGCAATTCGCGCAGCTTCATCGCGTGTTGGTAGTGTCCTCTAAATATTTTATTCCTGAGACATTCAGGTCACTGCAAAGCACATGTTAAGAGCACTTAAAATTCCAATTAACAATTAACAATTTCATTGGTGCCGGCAGGGACCGAACCCGAGTTGCTCACGTACTGTACCTTGAGCTATAACGGCTTTAATACCGACGATGTTTTATGTTTATGCGTGTGTAATGAATATCTGCTTTCTATAATACATTATATATTATAGTAGTCCCCCGTCTTTCACTTAAAAACAGATAATAACTAAAGTATTCTTATACTGTAATAAGAAAAAAGGTCGGGGCTGCACGATATACTTAAGCCGAAAGGATCCATTACACGAATATAAAAGCAGATAAGTTCTTACACGGGTGGTTTCATACATATTGTTTTTTATTCCTAAAATAAAATACCTTATTATGTATTATATTTTTCTGATATCTTACATAAATAAGTACGGTGTCATATTTGGTTAAGCCAGTACCAACAGTTTTTTGAAGGACTAAGTTAACGCCCTACAAAATTGCCATTTTGTATGGGCATATTAAAATACTGTTTTTAACAAAATAACTTAAATTAATCCAAATATTTTTGTCTAAGTTTATTCGCCTGGTAAGTGCAGGTGGCCGGAGGCCCAACATAAGACTACCTTAGGTACCGTCTCATCCGGACGGATATCAGGTCTCCGTCGACGTCTTGACTCTTTGAACCATTTACGATAGGATACGGTCTTTTTTTTGCATCCTACCCTTGGGGGCGGGTTGGCTTCTCGCCAGATGATTCCAACGTTGTTGCTGATTCCGCCGCTGATGTGGTACTTCAGGGAATTAAATTTTTTATTCTATCATCCGTAGTGCCCATCGGAGGTAGATTCCAGCCATGGTTTGGTCGCTCCTGTAAAGCTGCATCGCGCTTTAAGCAGGAGTGCTACCGATCCCAGGTTGATGCATCAACGTCCCGGGTTGTAAATACCAGCTCTTAAAAAGAAGTATAATTCCGCTTGCCGGTCCTTCAAAAGAATCATTGCCAAGGCAAAGTCAGCAGTGCACATCGGCAGAATTGGCAAGAAACTAGATCGCCTTATTCAGGAACTCGTGTATTTTAGTCTCTCGCCTAGGCTGTACAAGGGAACTTCTGTCAGCTATCTCTTATATATCTGTACAGGGAAGACGACTCACTGGCCATGCTACAAAGGAGAAAGTCGATATTAGGCTCCCTTTTTCCCTCCAACTCGAATCTCGACGACGGGGGACCGCTGACCATCCCGCGGTGTGAGGGCTCCATGCCGGACGTACGGTTTACACAGCGCTCGGTGCGCAAAGCACTCCTCTCCCAAGACATCGACACTAGTCGAGTGGGCCTGATAAAGTCCATCCCATTATGCTGAAGACGTGTGCTCTCGCTAACTCGTTTTTTCCATTACTAGTACTCCCCAGGCGTAATCCTGAACACGTGGAATATAGCTTTAGTGCACCCGATCTCTAAAAAAGGCGACCGCTCAGACTCATTCAACTACAGGCCTATCGTCAACACCTCTTTGTTCTCTAAAATAATGAAAATCATTATAAACTACCAGCTCATGGGGTACCTAGAGGATAACCAGCTGGTTAGTGACCGCCAGTACAGTTTTCGTCGAAGTCGCTCAGCTGGTGATCTTCTGCCTTACCTGACTCATAGATAGGCGGAGGCAGCGAAGGGGGAGGCCCTAGCCATTATTTTGGACATTGTAAAGGCCTTCGATCATATCTCGCACAAAGTGCTTCTTTCGAAGCTCTTTTCTAGCACATCGCGACAAAACTCACGTTTTCATTCACATCATCTGGATGCTTCGTGATCCACTACTGTGCGATTTAGTAGAAGTTTTCTTCCTCGCACAACTTTTTTGTGGAATCGCTTACTACCACTGGCGATTTTTCTAGAACGATACGACTTAGGGACCTTCAAGATACGATCTTACTTCTTTTTAAAAGGCCGGCAACGCACCTACAATTTCTCAGGTGTTGCAGTTGTTCATTTTTTTATAGGATAGGGTGACAAACGAGCACACAGTCCACCTGATGGTAAGTCGTTGCTGTGACTCATAGACATCTACATCTATCCTCATTAAAGAAGCAAAATGCAGATGCGTTGTCACCCGTAAAATCATGGGCGGCGGTCTGCGCTTACCATTAGGTCAGCCGCATGCTCGTTAGCGCATTCTCTTTAGAAATCATTCTTGCCATTTTCTTGGCAGTTTTTAATACCCTAGCTATAGAAGTCTGACGCATGAGAATAAATGAACTCAGTGAATGCGGACTGTACTGTTTCTTCGATATCGAAATTTAGTACATCAAAAAGTTATCTGAACTTCGAAAAATGTGGAAGTCTGTTTGGTTGTTGAGTTAGGGATTCTAGCTTTAGCTCCGCTAATTTTGCCAACGTCTGTTGTGCAGTATGTTGACGGGCGTCATAAAGTAGCAATGGCGAAGAGGCATTCACCAATCTGGGTTGTTTGAATGCCATCTTATTCACCATCGTTTGCTTTTTTTTCCGTGGTAAAGAGGTAGGTTTTCTTTTTGTATGGTGAAAAATAAACCCAGAGATATATAGCTGTAATAAATAAATAACTTGACGGTAAAATAAAACAACTTGACAAATGAGTACATCACTAACTGAATGTCGCACAGAGAAAGGCCCGCGATCAAATTTGCATCTTATTGCTAAATTGAATTTGAGAGGAGGGAATTTTAAGTCAAATCACCTGAGGTGAGAAGTGGATTCTATACGACAATATAGGATAGACTTCACAGTAGTTAGACTCTGATGTCCAAGTCCAACACCTGAAAATACGTTGTTGTATTGACAATAATTATAAAAAATGCACTGTGAAAAGAAAAAAGAAAGTATCCGTGTGGTATCGGCGTTAGAGAATCCGCCACTACATTACGTTTTTTTTAGGAAAGAGGCGACAAACTAGCGTGCGGCTCACCTGATGGTAAGTGTGATTCCAAGGGTTTTGTAAAAGGTGATTATGGGATATGTCACAGAAATCTCATGACTTCTGGTGGATGTTATAGTATAATCTCTTATTTACACGTATAGTACACAGTAATTGTATAATTCAAAAACACGCTTTGCAATTGCCCTTGAGGCAGTATCTTTTTTATTTTATAATCAAACTGACGATGCTGCCACTCTAAAAACTTTCTTCCCCATTGGTTGTCGGTTGGTCGAACTACGAGTAAATAGTCGGCCCATCGCCACTTCCACTTACTGATTTGTTCTAGAGTGGCAGCCTAGTAGGTGTGGGCTGGGCTCCAGTAGATAGATTGACGACCTGATAAGAAATGCAGAGATGGATCAGAATAATGACCATCATGCTTAATGGCATTACTTGGGTAAAGCTTGTTTCAGCAATGGACATGTGAAGAGCGGGCTTCTGAAGGGCGTCATGACGATGATGATGATGAAGTCATCTTACAAAATCCTCTACTGTTGCACGGA